TAGTAGTAGTAGTAGTTGTAGTAATAATAAAAGTAGTCGTTGTCGTTGTCGTAGTTGTCGTTGTAGTCGTAGTAGTAGTAATAATAATAAAAGTAGTAGTAGTAGTAGTAGTAGTAGTAGTAGTAAGTAGTAGTAGTAGTAGTACTAGTACAAGTACTACTACAAGTACTACAAGCGCACGTACAAGTACCAGTACAAGTAGTAAAGCGGAAAAAGCACAATGATCAGTAGTTAATGCATGTCATGCCTTCGTCTTTTCAGGCAACTGGTATTGGCATACATGCATGTGTTATTTCGCGTGGGTAACTTCATGTGCTTGCATGACGTCTGACGCTCCAGTCTACTGTGCAGCGGCCCTGCCCGCCTCCCCCACCGAGGTATACCAGCGGCCCGCCACGGGCACAGAGCCTGCTCTTTCGGCCATCCAGCAAGAGTAGTTCAGGCTTTCGACACGGAACTACAAGAGGACTAGCTCTTGAGATTACAATAACAGGAAACACAAGAGGGACGATAAAGACTATATTGGCCAGACGCGTTGAGATTTGTTTGGGCCAGAAGTGCAATACAGCTTCGGTCGAAGCTAGCGACGACTGACCAGAAAACCAAATTGCTCATTGTAGTATACCCAAAAGCAGCTTGCTTCCCTAATCGCCCTTGCAGATCCTGGCACTAGCTAGCTGCTAGTTGTTGGCAGATTGATGGAGACTACTACGACATGATTCTGCTCAGGAGCGTGCAGGCAATCAGGAGATTGTACAAGGCCCTTTCTGGCATTGCCGGAAAGGTGCCAAATACACTTTTTCAGGGCAAGCAGCGAGAAACTGCTTTGGGCGGAGGGATGGGAGGATATGGGAGGGGATAAAACAGCACACAAGCTCAAGCCAAGCTCTAACTCCGTCAAACGCCTTGAATAAAGCAGTGGGCTTGGCTTGGCCTCCGGCTTATTTACCTCCCGGAAGCCAGTTCGGAACATGGAGGATGTGTCCGAATCGCGAAAGGAGGAGGCATGTTTAGGATATATGATGAACCCATGAAGGGGCGTGTTCAAGATACATGATGAACCGGAATCGCCAAATGAGGGCGCGTGTCTAAGATGTCTGATGAACCGGAATCGCCAAATGAGAGGGCGTGCTTAAGATATATGATGAATCCGAGTCGCGACATGAGGGGGGGTGTTCAAGATATATGATGAATCCGAATCGCTGAATGAGGGTGCGTTTTTAAGATATAAGATGAAGGCGAATCTCCAAAGGGGACATGTTGAAGATATACATATGCTGAACCGGAAACTCCAAATGAGAGGGCGTGTTTAAAGATATATGATGAACCGCAATCGCCATATGAGGGAGCGTGTAGAGATATGATGAACCGGATTCGTTTAGTTTAAGATTTTCGAGGATTCCGAATCGCCGAATGAGGAAGCGTGTTTAAGATATATGATGATTCGGGATCGCTCAATGAGAGTTTTTCTAGATATACGGTGAATCCGATATGATGAACCGGAGTCGCCAAATCAGGCGTCGTGTTTAAGATATATGATCAACCCGAATTGCCAAATGAAGGGGTGTGTTTAGGATATATGGCGAATCCGATATGATGAACCGGAGTCGCCAAATGAGGGCGCGTGTTTAAGATATATGTTATGCCCGAACTGCCAAATGAAGGGGTGTGTTTAGGATAGAGGGTGAACCCGATATGGTGAACCGGAAACGCCAACTGGGCGTGCGCTTTTCAGAAATATGGGGCGTGTTCAAGATATATGATGAGGGAGCGAGTATCTCAAACACGGGCCCTCGCTCGGCGATTCAGAATCCTCGAAAATCTTGGTTTGCTTAGGGTCTCTGTTCTCATGTAGGGTGTGTGCTGACTTCTGGTCCTGCCTCTGCGCCTTCCTGTTCCTGACTCTGCGCGGCTTTGTTCCAGACTAGGCTCCGGTCTGTTCTGGACTATTCTGTTCCTGACTGCAGGGTTTGACGGCGAACTCGACCATCTTCGTCAAGGCTGGAGGGATGGGTCAGGAGCCCCGGCCACCAGATCCCCGACTTTCTGGGGCGTTGGAAGGACGCTCGCTCTTTTTCTGTCCGTGTCTCTCTCTTCTTCAACACAGCCTCTCTCGCTTCTTCTTCTTCTTCCCCCGGGCATGAGGG